AGGTAATCGGGTTCGAGTTACCCTTGAACTTATCGAGGGTGGTGCTCTGCTTTGAACTCTTGTCGATCAACTCCTCAAACTTCCTCTTGACCGACCCTACTGAAAGCTTGTTGGGACACCCGCCAGATATGACCGTCGTGGCTAGGAAGTTCTCCCAAAGGCTGCGAGCAGTCAACGTTGCGTCGGCCTCGTAGGGGAGGTAGAAGTCCTCTGGCCGAGAGATGAACATGGCGACTTGTAGCCTAGTGTCGTCGGAGAGTGGCGACACCTCCTCGACCTTCTTCGCCTTGCAAGTTTCTTGTCGAAGAACCTCACTCCTTTGAGTGTATTGTTTCAGGTGTCCCTCCTTGATTAGGATTTCGATGGCATCCTTGAGGTAGATGCAATCTTCCGTGACGTGTCCATGACTCTTGTGGAACCGACAATACTTGGACTTGTCGATGTTGGGCTTAGGAGGTGTCAACTTCAGGAAGCGAACACCACCTCTTTGGAACTCTGAGTTAATGCACTCTACCAGAATGCGCTCGTGGGGAGCTATGAGTAACATATACTCGGTGAATTGACATGCTGGCCCCCTTTGCTCCCGGGAGTCTCGGGCCCGATCCTCTCTTCTTTTCTCCCCGCCTCGTCGGGGAGCAGTGGTGTCTTTGTGCCTGGAATTTCTAGAAGTCTCCTGGTTTCGCGATTCGCAAGCACAATTGGCGGCCTCCTTCTCCTCGTACTGGATGTAGGCTTCGGTCTTGTGAAGGAGTGCGTCTAGCGTGTTAGGCCTTTCGATTCCGACGATCTTAGAGAACTCAGTGCGAGGTCCTAGTCCTCGCTCAATCAAATACCTCTTCATGTCGTCCGAGGTAGATACTTGTACAACTTCTCGGTTAAATCTCTCTATATAGTTCCAGAGAGATTCTTCCTTCCCCTGAATGATGGCTTACAGGGACGCTTCCGTCTTCGGGTGTTGCTGGGAAGCAGTGAAGTGCCTGGAGAACTACCTCTTCAGCTCTCTCCAGGAGGTGATGGGTTCGGGCTTGAGGCTCTTATACCACGCCATTGCGCCCTTCCTCAGGGTTGTGGAAAAGAGCCTGCACTTGATGGCCCCCAGGATGTTCTGGTAGTCGATCATCACATCGATGCTTTCAATGTAGTCGTCCGGGTCAGTCGTACCATCGTATGTAGCCAAGGTTGGGGGTTTCTCCATCCCGATGGGGAGGTGAGTCTCCATGATAGCCCTGGACAGTGGTGTGTGTGGGTTGTCCTTGTCGCTTCTGATGGGTGATTGTAAGGGGGAAAGGTCGTACTGAGGGCTCCTGATGCGGTCTGGAGGGCTCATCGAACGACTCTTCAGTTTCCCAGTCTTCCTGTCAGCTCTGCCTCTCTTGGGAGATGGGGAGCGTCGCTCTTTCCGGGGAGGAGAGAGTCACGCTTCTAGGCGGCCACGGGCTAAGGCCTTTCCAGTCGCCGACGACACCCAGGTTGTCGTGGAGAGGGACTCTAAGACTCATCATGTTGCAGCCTCTCCGGGGAGAGGAAGGACGGGTTTCTCGTTGTCGCAGGGACGGGCTGCGAGAAACCGAGCGACGATGTCTCCACGGAGGAGAGCGTGATTGTTGCTCCTTTTTCAGCATTCTGATCCGCTCGTTCTGTTGGAAGATCATCAAGTTTGTCTGATTGATTTCCGCAAACAGAGCCACAATGGTCGAGTCGACGTTGGGCGACACATGGATTGCCTGGAAGACAGCCGGGCTATCGAAGCGTCGGGCGACGTTGAAGGCCGGATCGTCAGGGGAGGGAGAGGCAGTGCGCCCATCCCTAGGGTCGCCTTCATCGACGTGAACGGTCACGTTGGGATCGTGACCATTGCCATTGGTGAAAGTGGTGAAGGCGGTTTCCTGAACGTTGTCGTCAGTGCGTGGGTTAGCCATAATCAACGGAGGTCGAAGTATGCTTTGGTTCTTGGATTTCTTTAGAAGAAAGAATGGGGAAGCAAGGTTCCCACAGACGACACCACTGATCTTACCAGATCAGAAAGGGATCAGCGGTCCGCAACACGTCGTGAGCTCCTTAACTCGCCGGTGGTGGAGAAGATGAGGGGGGGTGTACTTGCAAGATACTCCGATGCCAAAATAAGATACAAAGAAAGAAAAAGGTAAGTAAAAAAAAGGTGTAGAGAGAATAGAATACCTGACCCTCTAGTGAAAAAAGATATTTATAATGTGCCCTAAACGCGGGGCCAACGATTACTTTGCATTGAGTTGGATCGCTAGGCTCAATACGAGTAACTTTCAAGGCTTACAAAGCATAGGAAAGACCAGCACGTGGTCTTCGCCCTATGTCAACTGTCCCATGATCTTCGAAAGGTGGGTAGTTGCCTGATGATGTGTCTCTGCGTGGGGGGCACGCGGAGCCCGTGAGGGAGACGCGTGAGCGCTCCCCGTGTGATGTGATAAGCTAGGCCCTTATTCGGCCCTCCCCGACGAAGAAATGGGTTGAGTCGTGCCCGACAGTGGGAAAGCCTCTGGCCCAATCCAGAACACCATTCCAACAACTCTATCCCACACAAAAAAGTGGTTGCCTCCCGCTCCAACCCCACCGACATCCTACCCCCTTCATCACATCTCACCCAAAGTCATCCCTTGTTTTGAGAAGAGACCAACTAACCGAAAAAAATATCCATCAACCATACCCTCTCTTCCAAACAAGAATCATTCTAAAACAAAGATTTCTCTCCATTAACCACCAAACAAAATAAATTTTTTTCAAACAACCCTTCTACGTCGATAAACAAATTTTTTTTAATACAAAAGATATCTTTTTATCACTCTTACACCTTTTTATCTCCATTACGAATTTCACTTTTACTCACCATATATTTATTTTCTAAAATCTTGTTAAAATTCAGCCCTACACGATTTACCTAACAACGCCATATTGAACTCCAGTATAGTTCCTTTTTATTAAATCAATATTTATTAATTAAAGTATAGTCTCTAATGTTAAAATTCTGTTCTTTGAATGTTAAATGAAAAATGCAGAGTTTCAAACCTTGGACCTTTTGGTTTAGGCAAACACAACTTTACACCAAACCATTTACTTCCTTTAGTTTACATATATGCATTTCCTTTGGTTTACATATATGTATGTAACATTAATACTGCATCTAACATTACTATAGCTATATACTAATATTATTACAGCTAACTTATTTAAGCCTTTATTAAAATATTACTGCAGCTAACTAATATTACTGCAACTAATCATAAAAATATTAATAATACTGCAACTATATTTATTTGTAATTCATATATAATACATATTAATATTTCAATTATTTGGTTTATTAAATAATAAGTTTATAAAATATTATAACTATTAATATTAAAATTATTTAGTTTATTAGATAATAAGTTTATAAAATATTTTAATGATTTAATATTTCAACTATTAATATCTTAATTATTTAATTTATTAAATATTTCAATTATTTTAGTTGAAATAATTAGTTTAGACTATTTAATATTTCAACTATAAGTTTAAACTAACTTATTTAATTTATTAAATAATTAACTTATTCAATATTTCAACTATTTAAATAAGTACTTTCACAATATTATAAACTATTTAATATATAAAGACTGCACTTATTTTATAAATAGTTCATAAAATAGTTTATAAACTATTTAACATATAACTATTTTATTAACTATTTAATATATAGTATTTTAATATATATATATATATATATATATATATATATATATATATATATATATATATATATATATATATATATATATATATATATATATATATATTTATTAAACTATTATATGAATTATTTATTAATTAGTAAAATAATTAGTCTTTAAACTAGTAAAATAGTTGCATTAGTAAAAGAAAAATAGTTTAATTATAATATTTAAATATTAAAATAGTTTAGTAAATAATATTAAAAGATTATTTATTTATTTATTAATATAAATAGTTGAAATATATATATATATATATATATATATATATATATATATATATATATATATATATATATATATATATATATATATATATATATATATATATATATATTTCAGTATGTAATATAGTTGTGGTTGTTGTATTAATATTTATAAATGTATTACATGCATAGTTGTAGTATTAATATATATTAACATTTTAATTATCAGTTCTAGTATGTAATATATATAAATTCATTACAAAAATAAAGTAAAGAACACAATGACTTGGTTAAAATTGTTGTTGTTTTTACCAAAAGGTTCAAGGTTCTAATTTCATAAAAATAGTTTTTAAATTTTCTTTAACTTCAGCGATATATTTCACACATCAGCATTGTCATTAATAAAATTGTAACATCAAAATTAAAGACAATAAAAAATGAGATATAAAGTTTCGAAAAAAAATAAAGAGACTAAATTCAAAATTATATTTATAATTATCATATTTAGAAGTAATTCATATAGGTTCTCCAGAAAAAAAGAGAATACTGTGTTCTATGTGCTGTTTAACAAAATTAGAAAGAGAATAGAATTCTATGTGTTGTTCACCTCACAAAGACACTTCTTATCTAAAATAAATAGTTAAAAACACCGTCTTTCAATTTTTTCTTAAAAAACTGCCTCTATGTAAGAAAATAACAGCAAAAACAGAACACATAGCACTGCATCAATATTTTATCTACTATTAATAAAAATCTGTCATTGAAAGTCTCACAACACAACAACCACTCCTTGGTACAAGAGTATGAAAGAAAGAGAGTAGGAGAAGAGAGGCATAAAACCCAAAATATACTCTACACTATTTCAGGATATTCCAACAATACCCTCCGAATATTCCCTCTTAACGGTTTATATTACACTCTTCTCTTTCCCTTTTCATCCTCCTCCTTACACACTCTCTTTCTCAGCTTTCTCTCTCTTTTCCATTTCCTAACACATTCAAATTTAATTATTCTTTCTATAAACATTTAATTTTCATTTCTCCGAAACGCCATGAAATTCGGTAAGAGCCTCAGCAGCCAGATCGAGAAAACTCTACCGGAATGGCGGGACAAGTTCCTCTCCTACAAAGAACTCAAGAAGAAGCTTAAGAACTTAGAACCGGCCGCCGCCGGTGAGGACCGTCCCGCAAAACGTCTTAGGATTGATTCCGGTAGTGGCAACTCTGCCGCCGATGCCGGAGAAATTCCAAAGGAGGAGAGTGACTTCAGGAACTTGTTGGAGAATGAACTCGAGAAGTTCAACAACTTTTTCGTTGAGAAAGAGGAAGAGTACATTATTAGGCTCAAGGTATATTCACCAATCCTTAGTTACTTATTTTTGTATCATTATTAATTATTTGTTTAGTTGCAAGATTAATCTATTTCTGTTTATTAAAATTCTAGATATATATATATTTTTGAAAATTTAGAATTTCATTTTTAGATAAATAAGTTGCTTATACAAATTGTGGAATTTAATATTAATTAGAGAAAAAAATGGTAGCCTAACGAATTATGAATATGAATGAAGAATCTTGATGTGATAAAAAAAATATCTGGTTTCCACTATGTTATATGGTAAAGTAAAGATTGTTATTGCAATTTGATATTATCAATTTGTTTTATTACTTTTGTTCTCCTAAAACCTATTGTTAATTTGAAACTAACTCTGGGCACGCAAACTACTATTAGTCTATGTATTTGCGCAGTAAAGGATATCTGGTTTCTAACGGAAAAATATTAGTTAAATTTTAAACAATTTGAATACTTATGGTTAAATTAATATTCAGGAGTTGAGAGATAGGGTGGCTAAAGTAAAGGATTATAGTGAAGAGATGATGAAAATTCGTAAAGAAATAGTAGATTTCCATGGAGAGATGGTTTTGCTGGAGAACTATAGTGCCCTGAATTACACAGGTAAATTCTCAACCTTTAATACAAGCTGTTTTTCTTTTATTAACTTGTTTTTCTTTGTTGATATTAGAATATGACCAAATTGTGAATGGCTCAAGTCCCTTTCAGAACTATTTAGCACTTCTAAATAAGATGAAAAGTCAAAAGTAAATAGACAGAATAGGATTCATTTCCAATTCAAATTGTCCATTTGGTTGGTTCTGAGAATTCTGATAAGTTAGTAGGACCAAACAAAGCACATGCTTTCTTTTGGAACAAAGAATCTACTTTGGACATGTTCTTGTTTCTGAAATTTAACATTCTTTCCTTTTTTGATTCCTCTATAATCGTTGTCCTCTTCTATCTACTTGGTAAACCCAATCCGAGAATAGTATGTCCTCAATCTCAATGTTATGATGCTAACTTTTGCCTCAATTTTCTTTCCACAGGGCTAGTGAAAATACTGAAAAAATACGACAAGAGAACCGGTGCACTCATTCGCTTGCCCTTCATTCAGAATGTTTTGCAACAACCTTTTTTCACCACGGACATGATATACAAGCTCGTCAAGGAGTGTGAAACAATGCTGGACTACCTCTTTCCTGTCAATGTTCCTCCAGCTGTTGATGAGATAATCCCCGAGGCTGAAGGATGCGATCCTTCAACTTCAACCACCACCGAGAGTGATGGTTTGCTGATTCCTAAGGAATTAGAGGAGATTGAGTACATGGAGAGCCTTTATATGAAGAGCACCATATCAGCTTTGCATGTTTTGAAGGAAATTCGAAGTGGAAGCTCGACAGTTAGCATGTTTTCGTTGCCACCCTTGCAATTAAGTGGATTGGAAGAAACATGGAAGAAAGCCACAGTTCTTGAACAAGCAGCCAAGTAACCTGCTGGGTTACATTGAGGGAAATGCATGTTGTTGGATGGATATTATACACTTTGTTTTGTCTTTTTGATTGGATGCCTCTGTTATAGATACTAACAGTGATGTAAAATGCTAAATGTAAAGATGGAATTAGTTTTATAGAAATATATAGGTTCCATGTAATAAAACCTCAGGAATTCAAAGAAGTTATGTTTTGACATTTTGCTTGACTCTTCCTACTCTTTATTGCTCTTTTTGTATTGTTTGAAAATAACTTCTTTTGATGTAAAATATATTACACCAATGTAAAATATTTAATAGATGAAGGGGGAAGAGAACAATTTATAGGAATGAATTTCAATCTATTCACGAGCAAAACTTCTTAGATGAAGGGGGAAGAGAACCATCTTGAAATGTATCAAGTGAGGTGATGAAATAAACAGAGATTCCAACCAATGATAGCACCCCAACCATGAGCCATGAGGAAGGCTTGTTCAACACCAAGTGAATCAATAAGAGCAACTATAATCACCAATCAAATGGAATGGAAAATCGTATAGATTTCTCAGCGATATGCATTATGTGCTTTTCTCAGCAATATGCATTTTGATTTCATTTACTTCCATTGTTATGTGCTCTATTCCTTCCATGACCGATCTATTTGGTGTGAACCGTGATATACTGACATATAAGGGTTTGTGAAGTGAAAGTGAAGAGACATGTTTTAGATTTTCTTATATCATAAGGCACTGTTAAGCATCATTGTCAAATTAAAGTACATTATTTCCTCACCTTCCTATGATGCCACCACCATACCATGTGTTATTAATTAGCTTTGGTATACATTTCGTTATGTGATTTAAAGCGGTATATATTTTTTGAGTTTGAATTTTCGAAGAAAAATATATTAAAATTTAGAAAATCTAATAACTAATTTTTCTATCATTTGTCACATTAGTGAAAACTAATTTTGTTAATGACATTTGAATAAAAAGGACTAGCGTAATTCATTTTTAGAGTTAAGATATCAAGATATTACTCTATTTTATAATGAGTGATTCAGTTAATTATTTCATACAGATTAAAAAAATAAATAATTGAAAAAGAGAGAATGTTATTTTTACTAAAATATTTTTATCATTTATTAGAAATGATGAAAGTAATATTAATTAGAATATAAAATTAAAAAATATGTATTGAAAATTGAAATTGATCATTTATTTTGAGACACTCTTTTATTTCAAATAAATCACTTATTATAAAACAGAAAAAAAAAATATTTTTAAAAGCTAAGAGACAAAACTGAACTAGGAGTAAAAAAAATAGGAAAAAAAAAAGATATTTAGCCAATATCTAATGAGAATCTAATCTAAAAAAAATCAGTCCCTGATCCTTAAGGGAGGGATTTATGATTCTTACAATTAAAATGCAAGAGCTTTGATACATGCAAACAATTGCAAAAAAAATTTTCTATATAGATTCTGACGTGTTGAAGACAAATATATTTTTTTATCATTTTTTTTAAGATTAACTCTTGTCTTATATTATTCTTCACCAGATCTAGACGAGCATTTTTTCTCCTAGATAACTTTTAAATCTTTAATTATTGGTCTTAAATAAACTTCTCTATTAGTTTTTAGTTGTTTTGGACTCGAAATCATCATAGATCATATATTTACATTTCATGTACAACCATAAAGATAAGTTGTAAATTATGAGAAGAATAAATCATTAAATATGATTAGCATTTAAATTACTAAAGTGGTTCATTCCATCGGTGACAAGTCCAAAGGTTTCTTGACTAACGGCCAAAATTCAGAAACAACAAATTAATTTTCTTCCATTACAAAGAATCAACTATATGACAAACTTTTTTTATCACATTTTCTTTCATTCGCATGTCATCTAATATTCTTTGCGTCATTTAAGTTAGCAAACAAACTCTCGAATCTTAGAATTATTTGTAGACACCACATCACATTGGCAGGAAGATCCTTTCTAATTACACCACCACCACCACCACCATCATCATCAGCAACAACAGCAACATCACTATTCTTCAACTTGTAGCGCGACTCCCCACACCTCGGGCACTAATTCAGTTTTTCATACTTTTTTCTATATATTATGCAATCATTACGACATGCATGTATTTAAAATAGTCCATAACCATTAGAAACAATATTTTTTGGTCTCATAATTACGTTTCCACAACATGTTACATTCTAGAAGCATATGTATCAATAATTCAAGCAATTTAGTGAAACTTTTATCCGTTCACCCACTTTTTGCCTTTAGATTAAATAGTCTTAGCACAGTTGACAACCGCGTACAAATTTGATACCCCGTAAATAAAGATTTTTTCTTGTCACTACATAAAGTATCATACACATGGAGTCTCCTGAAAGAATCTTCTCCAATATCACGAATCATATCTTCTAATTGATCACCCATATCTTCATCAACTTCAACTCTATATGGCACAATTTTTTTGTCACTATACCAAGCCACACTCATGTCATATAATTTTTATTAGAAATAATTTTTATTTTATAAAACTTAATGACTAAGTTTTGTTAGAAGATAATTTAGTACTTTAGTATGTTGCCTTTAGTTTTCTGTGTATAAATAGACTAGTGGTAGATGTCATTTTGTAATTCTTTCTTACAACTTTGTAGCCGTCATTTGTAGAATATAAATATATTCTCTCATTCTATTCATCTCTTTTAACCTTGTGCACCAACAATTGGTATCAGAGCTCCGGTTCGGATCCACGGGGAAACACGAGTGAAACGGTGAGGCGTTGTATGGTTAATTTCGTTTTTTGAACGAAGTCATAATAGAATCACATTTTTTGATTCTGCGGGATTAGGAAACACTGTGTTTGGTGAGATCTGAGTGGTTGCACAAGGTTGAAGATTAACAGAAACGGTGGTCTAAGCACCAAGCTTCCAGTGTTTGATGGAAAAAACTGGACTCGTTGAATGATTCAAATGTGTGTATTGTTCGGTGCTTAAGATGTGTTTGATCCTGTCACTGAAGGTTACGTTCCAGTAGAAGTAAATGCAACGGAGGAACAAAAGAACACGCTGAAAGATACGAGGAAGAAAGATCATAAAGCATTGTTCTACATCCATCAGTGTGTGGATGCAAATGTGTTTGAGAAAATCGCTAATTCAACGACGGCAAAGACTGTGTGAGATACACTGGTCAAGTGCTATGGTGGTGACGTATCAGTAAATGAGATGAAGCTTCAGTCCCTAGAAAAGCAGTATGAGAATCTCAACATGAAGAACAATGAGAAGGTATCTGAGTACATCTCCAGAGTGATTTTGATCACTAATGGGATGAAAGCTTGTGGAGAAACCTTTTCTGAACAAGTAATCATTGAGAAGGTATTGAGATCCCTTACCCCTCAGTTGATTATATTGTGGTAGCATTAGAACATTATAAATATATGAGCACCATGAGAATTGAAGAGTTGCAAAGTAGTCTAGAGGCACAAGAGTTGCGTCTGACTGAGAGAACTTATGAAAGAGAAGTAGAACAGTAGGATCTGAAACAATTTCTGGTAAGAAGTATCAGAAACAATCTTGGTCAGAAGCCAGGAGAAGATCTGATGCTATTCAAGAGTCAGAAACCTTAACTTCTAATAAGCAGAAGAATGCTCAGAAGGGAAAATAGAGGTATGCCAAGAAGAAGATCTAGTGCTACTGTTGTAAGAAGTTTGGCCATTTTGCTGCTGATTACTGGTCAAACAAGGAAAGGAAGTTAGAAGAAGCAAATATAGCTAAAAGTTCTAATGATGAATCTGTGCTACTGATGGCTTCTAAATTTGATGATATGGGTTTGGCAGACTGGTGGTATATGGACACTGGTTGCTCAAATCATCTTACTGGAAATAAGAAATGGCTGGTTGACTTTGACTCTGGTAAAAGGACAAAGATCAAATGTGCTAATGATAAATAGCTCAATGCTGAAGGTATGGGAAATGTCAGAGTCGTCCTGAACAGTGGGAAAACAACATTGATTCAGAAAGTGTGGTATGTACCTGGCATGAAAAGCAATCTGATGAGTGTGGGGAAACTAATTGAGAAAGGTTTTTCAGTTACCATAAAGGACAATCTTCTGAAGTTGTATGACTGTAATCAGAAGTTGATTATGGAGTCAAAATAGGAAAGGAATAGAACATTCAAGGTCAATGTAAGAACTGCATACTCTGAATGTTTTAGTGCAATAAGTGTTGTGAAGGAAAGTGAGTTGTAGCACAGAAGATTTGGTCATCAGAATTTTAGAAGCTTAGGGCGTTTGAATTCGAAGAAGTTGGTACATGGAATTCCTACAATAAAAAGCCTGAGAAGTCATGCAAAGTGTGCATGGAAGGAAAGCAACCGAGATTTCAATTTGTGTCATAAGTAGCTCAAAGAGCAAAGCATGCATTGGGAGCAGTGCATTCTGATGTGTGTGGTCAATTTCCAATAGCATCGATTGGAGGGAATAAATACTACGTGTCATTTGTTGATGATTTCATAAGAACGCCATGGGTACCCCTTATAAAGTTTAAACACAAGATGTTTGCTTAATTCAAGAAGTTCAGAATGAAGGCTGAGAATCAGAGTGGTCAGACTCTAAAGATTCTCAGAACCGATGGTGGAAGTGAATATAACTCCACTGAGTTCAGAAAGTTATGTGAGGAGAATGGAATTGAGCATAATGTTACTGCTCCTTATAATCCTCAACAAATGGTCTTGCTGAGAGAAGAAATCGTACTTTTCTTGATATAATGAGAAGCATGCTGAAGGAGAAGAAACTTCCTCACACCTTATGGGGAGAAGCTGTTGCCACCGCAACATATATGCTCAACAGATGCCCAACGAAGAAGCTGAAGGAAATAGTTCCTATTCAGAAGTAGACCGAAGATAAGAAAAGTGTTAGCCATCTGAAGGTATTTGGTTCTTTATATTACAAACATGTTCCAGAAGCCAGAAGACAGAAGCTGGATGATAGAAGCAAAGTAATGT